TCTATTTTCTATCAATGCATTTAATGTTATTTTGTTCTCATTTGCTATTGATACATCTTGTCAGCTATGAGTGAACTTGAGAACAGGCATTTTTGCTCATATTTTCATCTCCTGGCTGGCATCAACAGGTACTCACAAATATTTTGTGAATAGATGACTGAATACATGAGCCAATGAGTAAACATAGGATTAATACTGTGGCCTTTACAAAGAAACATGCTAAATAAGCAATAGGTTCACCTGTTGGCAAGTAGATATATACAACTGAAATTCAAAGTACATTCAGTTGGGCTGAGGATTTAGCTCAGTGGTTCCACCACCTGCCTCGCAAGCATAAGGACCCGAGCTCAATCCCTAGTACCAAATAAATACATAAGTAAATAAACTGAATAAAATACATACAGGCAAGATTGGTTGTTATAATCCTGTGAATCTTTTCATAACTTTCCTAACTGAATGACTTTTTGGTTTTCATCTTTAAAAGCTTAACTATAAATGGTGAATAAAATATTCTCCCTTTGCTTTTTGGTGGTAGTGTGGATGAGTAGTAGAGAATATATAGTGTGTGGGGTTAGTGTTGGACATCCTGGTTGATGTCCCATCTTCTCTGGCACATCTGTGAATTGTGCTGTGCCTCTCGGCTCCTGAAAGTTGCAATTTCTGTGCGTGAAATTGCCACATCATATGTATGCCTTGTGAAATTTTGGTGAAGGTCAATAGAGACAGCTATGGGACAGCATCACACATTGTTTCGTTCCTAAATGAATCTCTAAGTTCCGTGGAGAACTCGAGGAGTTGCACATTCATGCCCACTGGCAGATTAGCATCTTCGAAGGAGTCTGTGTTTCCATCATATAACCCTGGTCACATTTAGCTGCCACACCTGAGTTCTCACTCCAGGGATAAGCCAGGAGCCCTTCTTGCTAATTCAATTATTCACTCATTCAATCAGAGCGTTTAGACAGAAGTCTGTGCCAAAACTTGCCTAGTAATGGAAATTCTCCTCTCTGCTCTCAAGGACTTCAAAATATAGAAGAAAGACACATGAAAAATAGTGTATATGTTATTGTTTGATAAGTAAAATGATACAATTAGTTAACCTTTGCTTTTCTCCTCTGTGCAAAGATGGAGGGGACCTGATGAACAGTGTAGCTATTGAACATATAAACTAAATTCAAGGAACGTGTTAGGTAGAGATATAGTCTAGCAGACAAGAGAGTCATCCTTTAGGCTTTTATCTGAAGGACAATCAGATTTTATCAAGTCAGAGTCAAGGGAATTGGCACATATGGAGGTCTATAAGCTAGAGAGAATTAGCACATAACAAGTACTGAGAAAATGTATTCTCTTAGAAGCCTAAACTGAGAGTGGAAAGAGGGATAAAATGCAGAAGTATGTTGGCATGGACCTGGGATTCCCTTATAAAACCAACCAACTGTTGAAATTTTTCCTAGGAGCACTGGAAAATCACTGACACAGTCCTGATTCAGAACAGAACAGAGGCTGACTTGTGTCCTGGGAGACCAGAGGGCTAAATTCATTCATCTAGGGAGAGGAACGGACTTTGTGGGCTAGGGTGGTAAGGTGTCAAGACGGGAGAAAGTTCATGTGAGTAAGAAGCTTCAGAGATGGACTTTTAGTACTTAAAATTGATTGGATGAAGGGTATGTGGGAGGCAAGTTGGTTTTCTGGCTCATTTAAATGGCACCAGCCCCGTACTGGAGGAGAAGCAGATTCAGCTCAGCGTATTTGAGAGACTCCCAGGCGGAGAAGTCCAACGAGCTCTTAATGGACTCGTGCGATGCTCACAAGTAGGGCGAGGGACAGCCCTAGGAGTAATCAATGAAGCGAAGAGGAGCAGCTCAAGGGCTCCTTTGGGTTTCCCAGTATGTAGGCCGCTGAGAGTCGTAATGAAAGTAGTTTGAGAGCAGAGTAGTGGTGAGAACAAGGAAAAGAGGACAAAGCTGAACCTGACGAGGTGTGCAGCTCGGAGGTACCTGGAATCCAGGACACCCTGTGATTTCATACACTGGAATTTCATTCCCCCTCCAGAGTGGAGAACAAACAGTGACACAGGGCACAGACTCCTCTTACCCAGAAGTGCCACCGTCTTCAATAAATGGCTTTGGGGTTAGAAAGAGTGAAATTTTGCAGGAGAGAAGGTGCTAGCTTTCCATCCTTGTGACAAAGTACCTGAGGCATACAATTTATGGAAGAAAATTTATTTTGGTTCCTGGTTTCAGAGGCTTCAGTCCATGGCTGGCTGGTTCCATTGCTGCAGCCCTGAGGTGAGGCACAAAATCATCATGGGAGTGTGAGGTGGTGCATAGCCGCTCGCCCCGTAGCAGCCAGGAAGGAGGGAAAGAGCCAGTGCCAAAATACAGCTTCCAAAGACCTAACTCCCAACACCTTCGTCATCCAAGTAGGTCCCACCTCTAAGTTTCTACCCTCTCCCCTAAGATCATCATTACTAATCCACGGATGAAATGGGATTTCCAAAACCCCATCAGCTGGCAAACTGCAATGAACCTTCTTGGGGACATTTTGGATCCCAAGCGTAACACAGGAACTTTGGTGAAGCAAACAGTAGTGTTTAACTCCTCCATCCATATTTAAGGATAGAATAAAAATGGTTCCCATGAACTGCCAGGAGCAGGGAAGTCATTTAGTGAATACTCTGGAAGGAGAGAAGCAAGAAAGCTGGTGAGCATTATCACGCCATAAACCAGCTTCATGTGATGGGAGTAGGCAAAGGAGAGCAGAGAGGAGACTTCTGAGACTCTTTAAAAGAAGGCAATTTGCAACCTGAACCTTGAGAACGGGCAGTAAGGGACGGCATTCCCTGCCTACAGAACAGCGTACGTGGAAGGCTTAGCTTCCCACTAGTGGACCCTGGATAATACAGTTGACACCGATGCCTAGGGAGGGACAGCCAGCAACAAGAGAGAGCCCTGCCATGCTAAACGGGAAGGAAAGCCGCTTTGCAAAGTAATTCTCAAAGCTTTGTCTCAAGGGTATCTCCATTCTCGTCAGTAAACAATAAATAGAAAATAAAATTATTCTGTTACTTTCTTCTTATCTCATAATATTATTATAACCTACTACATATACAGACCTGACCATAATTACACATGTAATACTCTGGAACGCTGCTCACAGACTTTCTCATTAAGGGTTACTTCCTTATTTCAGTTTTTAGCCTTGTCCTCCCCTATCCTGACCCTTAAAACTTCAGTGAGAATGTTGGCTCTTTTATCTGGGAGTCTCAAAGAAACTCTTTCTTATTACAATGCCTTAAAGATTATCACCTTGCCAAAGTGTGAATTTCTATTGCAACTATCTTTTAAATATTTTTTTCCTGAATAATTACAATTTTTCTAAGGAGATAAAGAGCCTGAAAAGGGCAAACCTGGCAATGTTTCTTGTTTCATTAAGAAGCAGCAACAACAAAATGTGATCCACAGCACTATTAGGGATAATTGGAAGTATAATTATTCTGGAGAATTTGGGATTTAAATTGTCAGTTCATTGCACATGTTATTAAAATACCTGCCAATCTTTCTCCAAAGATGTCAAAATCAATGGCAAAAAATAATTTCTGATTAATTTATTTGAGAAGCTGCATATTTCAAAACCACCACGTGACTCAGTACATGTTATAATTTTATTTATGGGCTGTATATATTTCAACTATTTCCAAACGGCTGAATTATCATTTTTACTCAGCTATATATTGGAAAAATCTTTTTTAGTTTCTATTGTATGACTTTGAGATGATACAGACTGAGAACTTAATATTCTTGCTTCTACAATGAGATGTGAAATGAATTCTGGTTCTAGTAGAGTTTGTAGATGAATTTCAGATGCAAGATATACAAAAACTTCATGAGGATTTCCCAGGAGTAAAAAAAAAACTTAAGGAACTTAAATGAAAGCATTGCAAGTACAGATGAAAACTTAAATCACGCAAAAAGTATTCCAGACAATCACACCTAGTAATCTCAGTCTGCTGGTGTTTTCGTGTCACTGGAGAATCCTCATTCCTAGCACTCCTTGAACCACCCACAGAGATCAAAGGCTACCAGTCTCAGGCTGATGTACCTATTTACATCAATCATCCAGAAGAAACACGAAAATTAGGCAATAATTCAAATATTCTGCCGCCTGTTAGGAAACCACTGCCAAAGAAGAAAGAGCGCCACCTAGTGAGAGCCTAGAAGAATCTCTCTTGCCGTTCATTTGCTCCCCTTTGAACGGCAGCAGCAGCCTACTCAGAGCTAAGCACTGGATGCCCATTTCTTTCCAGCCACGCAGGCTACTGCTTCAGCCCTTTGAAATCTTCCCGAAGTCTTTCCATTGCCTCATCCGCTTACACTCGGTGTCCCATGACTGGAGGGCCCTTGAACTTTCTTTACAACTGTTGAAATATATTATTCAGCCGGACTTGGTGGTGCACGCCTGCCATCTCAGCACTCGGGAGGCTGAGGCAGGAGGTTTGCTAGGAGTTCGAGGCCAGCCTGGGTGCTATAGTGAGCTCAAGGCCAGCCTGGACTGTATAGTGAGACTCTGTTTCACATGAAAAAAGATATATTTTTCAAATGGTTGGCTTCTCACTATCACTTCTTCAACTGCCCTTTCCTTTAAATCAAGTTACTCTATGTGGGGTTTATGCTTCTACTATTTCATTATTATTATTATCATCATCATCATCATCTCCCTATATATACAGCTGTATACCCGGTGTCACATACCATTCTGTTACTATGTTCATATGCATATATGTATATAATCCATGCAACTATGTCTGCTATGTGATAAATGATTAATTTTTGTTGCATGAATCAAAAAGGCTAATTATTTAAAAGGCAATAGCTCTGCCTAAGAGCAATTCTAGGATCTGAAGATCCTAGAATATGTTTTGGCAATATCAAAGATACTGATGACTTCCATTATATCCTTAAATTGGTAGTCAATTGACTCTGTGAAATTTATTCACTAAGGACTTCTTTTAGATGAAAACGCAGAAGTAACAAACCAAATGAACATATCAATCGTTGGTTACTTAAGAAGATGAAAAAGACACAAGATACTCAATGGATGTTTATAAACGAATTGATGTCGCTAAGAATTCTGTTGCTATGAGAAGCTACCCTAGAAAGCCAGAAGACCAGAAGACCTGGAGAAACCCTAGAAAGCAGCTCTCCTGCCTCAGAGTCACGCCACAGTGTACACAAACTGCAGCAGAGGCCACCAGAACCCAGAAGTGAAATGTGTTAAAGCAAGCGTGGTAAGTAGAGTATAACAGAGGGAGCCCCAAGACGTTGGCTGGGGGCCGAGGGCTCTCAGAGGGTCCACGGGTCTGGAATCAAGGTTGGGCTCCCAGTGACAGCAGCAGGGTTGGGTACTCCTGGGAGGAGCCAGGTGGGGTGGGAGGAGACGGATCCTAGTATGGAAACGAGGCAGTAAGGAGGAAGTCCAACTAAACCGGTAACCAGATTGAGAACTCAGATGAGAAGTCCAGGGTATCTGTCAGTTGAGCAGAAATCTTAGGTAGCAAAAGGACAGCACTAACATGTTAGTTAGTATCACCACAAAGTTCTTGTCAAACAGGAATCTTCTGAGTATCTTGGACTTCAGAGAAAAAAGAGGGGGCAAATGTAACAGTCTTGTACCAGTATTTCTCATACTTGGCTACAAAAATGTTTAAAATCCAGATATCTAAGCTAATCCCCACACCAATTAATTCAGAATCGCTAGGGCAGGGACCTGGGCTTCAGAACTTTCCAAAAGCAGCCTGTGTGATGACACAGACCAGTAAAGGCTGAAGATCACTGCTCGAGTATAAATCAGCCAGGCCTAATGAGTCTCTGTGCCCTCTCCGAAAGAAACCAAATCCCAGCTGACAAGCAATCCGCTGCCTTCAGGCTTTGGACCAGAGGAAGACTAATACAGCCAGAATGACCAATATTATGTTGAAATTACCAGAATTAGGCAGAGGAGGTTGCAAAGGATTCAGCCCAGAAAAATCAATGCAAGACCAGAAGCAGAGAAAAAAGGAAAGCCTGCCCGGGACGTTTCTAGAAGCTCGCAACCAACGCCCTGCTAAGGATCGGGACTCGGAGGATGGCTCACCATCACGGGAATTCACCAAAGAAGAAAACAGAGCAATCAGTGGGGCCATACCTTTAAAATAGTAAGTACAGTACGCTATGAATTTCCGTGCCTTAGTTCTTACTGGGGCAAAAAGACTGCTTCTGGGATATTCGTGCAAAAAATAGACTGGAAGCTGTATTTGTTTCTGTTAGTTTTGTTTAACTCGAAATCTATGGGTAGAAAAGTAGGAGGCAATAGTAAAAGGATAAAAAGCCCTAGAGCAGTGAGCATTTTAATGAAAGAAAATTTTCATTGCTGATGGGATATAAAACTTTACTTTCCCTGTAGGTTCATACTTCCATAGTTGAAAGGCTGATTAAAGAAACTTTTGAATTAGAAGGAAAACCATTTGAATGCAACATTTCAATATTTATAAAATTTAAATTATTATTAAATTTTAAAAATTTAAACAGTAGCATACAATTCACTCACTTTGATGGCGATCTTTTTAAACAGACTGTATCATTCTCCATCAAAGCTGCTATATTTAAAAACTTTTTATTGGCACATGTTGGCAGGACACAATGATTACAATTGTCAGGGGGAGTTGGTACATGTACATAATACATCTTAATCTCTCTCTTTCTTTCCTTCTTTCTTTCCTTCTTTCTTTCTTTCTTTCTTTCTTTCTTTCTTTCTTTCTTACCTTCTTTCTTTCTTTCTCTCTCTCTTTCTTTCTTTCTTTCTTTCTTTCTTTCTTTCTTTCCTTTTCACCCCCTATCTTTTCCTTCCCTGCCTGCCCCTTCCAACTGTTGGTCTCCTTCCCATTTTCTTGCATCTATTTCTTAAATGACAATATTTTGGGAATCTGGTTTTTTCTGTGTCAGGCACAGAAGTCTTTTTTTTTTTTTTTTTTTTTCTTGGTATTGGAGATCAAACTCTGGTCCTTGCACTTGCAAGGCAGAGGGTGGAACCACTGAGCCAAATACCCGCCCCCATCCTTTTTTTAATACAATAAAAATCACATTCAGTTACATCATAATGAAAAGAAGTAATCTATAAGTGTATGCATCAGTGTGAACTTCACGAGCTTAACAAGTGTGGGAAGCAAAACCCACAAGACAGCTACCGTATGAGCCCATTCATCAGAAAAGCAGACAAAACAGACTCAGGGTGGTGTTTAGCCTTGAGAATGGGGAGATAGGGGTTTTGGGGTACTGATGATGTTCTGTTTCTTTACCTGGGCGAGGTCAGTTTTTGACAATGGAATGTGGCATACACTTCTGGTAGGTGCATCTTTCTTTATGTATATAATGCTTTAATAAAATGCTTCAAATTCCACTTGCCATGCCATTTTTAGCACAAGGGATTAAGTCAGAAGCGGTGTAGAAGAATGGTCACCGCTTTGGACTTGGAGTCTGTGCCCTGTGTTGGAGCCCTCCCTTGTGAATTACCATCTCTATGTCTTCAGGAAAGGATCTAACTTCTCCGGAACCCAGGCACCTCATTGGTAACAGGTAGATTATAAAAGCCCTGCCTTGGAGAGTTACCGGGAATTGTAAATCACATGCTGCCTATAAAGTAGCGCAAAGCACATGGCCTGGTAAATGTGGACATTTCTGCCACCTATGTGGAATTATTAAAAGATTTCCTAACATCTAGTGCAGTTGTAATACTTGGTATCGTCTTTGTTTCTACTCTAATCGCTGGAAGTCCTTGAACTAGAAAGCACCCTATCTACCACCTACAGCGCTGAAATGAAAGGACACGTAAACATTCTGACACTCGGACAGGACACATCTGCAAGGAAGGGTTTAGTCCTTGGCTTACTGATCCTGTGGAGGACATATTATTTACCATCATAAGCATTGTTGTCAGGGAGGTTTTGATTCTTTCCTAAAATAACAAAAGAAAGAGAAATCAAGGAACTGGTGATCTTTATCTTCTGGCAAAGTAAAAGGAAAAGTGACCTCTTCAGAAATGGAGCAGAAGTGGAACTTTAGGAGGTCTGTGAAAGAGAAGAGTCACGAGGAAAGGATGTGTTGCAATGAGGTAAAGAGACAAATCCAGTACAGTGGACCCTTGAGTTACGACCAGTCTGACATACAAACAACTTGGATTATGACCAGAATTTTAGTTTTAACTTACAACCAAAATCTTCAGTTATGACCCAAATGCCCGCCACTTGTGCTTGCAGATGGTCTCAGATACAGATTTAACCCTCAAAGAGTTCCAGAAGGGACATCACACCATCCTCTCCTGGGTGGGGTTAACAGAGAAATCCTGGGCCAGTGTCTCTCTAAGGACGCTGAGATCTGCCCATAACAGGAGAGAGACTCTGACGGCTGTGGAGAGGAGCCTGAGCCTTCAACTGACCGATCTGAGTTACAACCAGCCCTCCTGAACGAATTGAGTCCATAAGTCAAGGGTCCACTGTAGCAATTACACCAGCTCAGGGCAAGCACTGGCTGGCGACAGGAGACCGAGTGGGGACGAACGCTGCTGGGCCCCTCCATTCCAGATTTGCCAGCAGGCAGCTGGGGGAAGAAATGGTGGCAGTTGGGGTTCAGAGAAAAGCAGTGTTACAAGCAGCTCAGCCCATACGCTGAGTCCAGCTAGGAGGGAAGGCCCGGAAATGGGGGAATGGGAGGCATTGCCATGAAGAGCTAGTAGAAAGCATGTTTAGTTAGGGAAGAGATTTCAGGGTAAAGGCAAAGCGGTAAATTTCCAAATCCAGGATTTGACATGGAACAGTTAGGAGGGGCAGGTACCAGGGATCGAACTTAGGACCTTGAATCTGCGAGGCAGGCATGGAAATACTAAGTTGAATCCCCAGCCCAGACATGGAGCAATTTTAAAGAATAAGAAGATACTAAAATCAATGAGCAGACAGGCTTTTTCATCCGATTGCTTTAGCCCTGCACTTTCCCATCTATACATATGACAGAAACAGCACAAATAAATAGCACAAATATTACAGTTGTAGACTTTTTTTCTCCAGCAAGAGCTGTATAGGCACAGAAAATACATGCTACACAGTAATTACTATTTTATAGGAACGACTCCACTGATGGACTGGTTTTAATTTTTAGTTCATGTTCGTGACCCTGCTTTGAACATTTCTCATACTTGTGATCCATAACTTTGCCTGGCTGCTGCTTTTCATAAGGGCCCTGGGCCAGGCTTGCTTCTACTCTGTTTCTGGTCTTCCACTTTTTCTTCTGGCTAAGATTTCTTGCCATCTCCAGATTCCTCTGCCTGATCCAGGTATATTCAACATGCTGGTGAACAGTTTCTATAGCTTTCTACCCCGCTTAAAGTAAGTTAAATGGAAATAACAGAAAGAAACTTAACCCAGAACAATCAATGCAAGAATAGAAGTGGAGTAGAATCCCCAGTACCAAAACAAAACAAAACAAAACAAAAAAAAAAATCTATGCAGAATGCTTTTGCTAATTTGGGACCAAATCTGTTTAGTATTTTCCCAATGTTAACATGAGTTATTTGCCAAAAGTTCAAATGAGTTAGGATGAGGTTACTAAGGCAATGTTTTTAAAATAGGTGTCCCCAAATTATGGACCATAGACCAAAATTTTGTCTCGAAAGTGTACAAATCCCAACCCCCACAAAGAGATACAGACCCTGCGGTCCACTCTATTCCTACTGAACCAATGCCTACTAGAATCTTTATTTGGAACTATTCTATTTAGAACTATTCTAAAATATTGACCAGATTATGGAAATAATTCAACTAAAAGGAAAATAAAAGTGATCCATAAAAGACTACAACTAGAAGGGGGCCAATGGGGAAGCTTCTGTACCAAAAGGGAAAGGAACAAGTCTGTCCCAGACACAGGAGATGAACAGATCCTGTTCTCACATAGGCCGATGGGCTGGCTATTCAGCAGAGCTGGACATTTTATCTCTGTGAAACACTCACTAAAATTAACGACTGAGAATATCGTGTGGGGATGAGAACTTAGAGGGCTCAAGAAAGAGAAAGTATCATCAGCACTTCTAGCCTAAGTGCTGTTAACAAAATTCAGACACGTAGATATATAGAATACAGCACATCTAATTTCCTTACATTTCACCAAGACATGTTCCTGGTTTTATTAACGGTGTATTTATCTGTTATGTTCCACTTGTAACATTTTTGTCATAACGTATTTTCTAGGGTTCGAGCCAGTGAAACAGAAGTTGAGAATAGAAACGAAAGACGAGGAGATGGGCCCAGGGTGTTCCCTGGAGGAGTGAGAGGCACATGGATCAGGAGGGAGGGAGGGAGGCAGAGGTGCCGACCGTCGTGACGGACCATCGTGCCTTCTGGTGAGACCCTGCAGCCCAGAAGGCTGAAGCTGGTGGGGATGACGGGCAAGGCAAAGAGGTCCATTGGCTTTGGAAGAGCTGCCGTGGGATGGGAGAGGGTGCTGAGCGCATATGTGCCGAGACAACCAAGCGTCACCGCGTCCAGTGGAGCTCGGACGGCGGATGTTTGAGGGCCAGTGGCCCAAACAGGTCTGCGATTTCCTCAAAGCTAACAGATGAACGACTGCTTTTTAATGGAAGCCGGGCCTCTTCACAAACAACAAACACCAAGAGAAGAAAATGTAGGCTGGCTCCCTAATATACGTGAGACCCTTGTAGAATATTAAATACAACTTTATTGATTTCTTCATTCAACAAAAAAAGCGTGTCTTTTATACGCCATGCGCAAAAAATTGAAGCCTGTCACCAAATGGAACGTCAAATGGAGAGACATTAATCAAATCAGTGCACAAACTGAGCCTACTGAGAAGGAAAAAAGGGAAGAGCCCTGACGGCATACAGTAGTGATTTTTCTCTACGGCAGGGTGAGCTAGCAGGCTTCCCAGAGGGAAGCAATAAAGACTGAGCGACAACCTGAACCCCGAGGAGCGTTCCTTGGAGGAAAAGAATGTGTGAACTGTGTGTGCTGCGTGTGCCTTGGCAGAGAAGCAAGGCACACACAAGTAGGGCTGGAGGAGGGAGCACGGTGAGGATGGGGCTGAGAGCCAGCCAGGGCGCCGGGGTGGGGAGGCTGGGCGAGGAGCAGAGCAGGCCTTGAGGCCATGCTCAGTGCTTCCCCTTCTTCGTCATGGCCAAGAAAGACAGTGGCACTGCCCGGCAGGAGCGCCTGACCATCAGGTCTGCATCGCTCAAAGCTCGTCTCGGGTGGACGTGAAAGTCCGGAGGCTCTGAGGTTAAAGGAAGTTGGTGTGATGAAGGCCAGGAGAGAGGGGTCGTGGGGACAACTGGGCGTTCACAGGGTAAAGCTTTGCGGCGATTGGACAGGGAGTGTGAGGGAGAAGGGGTGTAACTCGCTGGTTCCTGTCCCGCTTCATCGGTACGGTACGTGGTAAAGCCCTGGGAGAGTGGAGGAAGACCTTGAGTTCAGATTTTGTTACAATGAAGTTGCTACGATTGGATTAAAAGCTCTTACCAGATTTGCTTGGTATCGAATAATCAAGATTTATAAATTCAGTGATGCTGCTAGATGTCACCGACATCCCAGCGTGTGGTTCTAATGCTAACGTGCCGGCTTTGGGAGTTTACCTTTACCACTGTCACTTGTGGGGTGTGTTGAATGATGATTCCTTCTCTGCAGAGAGATGCTGTGGTGTGATGACATGCTTTCTGTCAGAGAACGGACAGTCAGACCCACTTATGGGCTAGGGAATCAGAAGACAGAAATCGGGAGCAGCTTGAGTACATGACATGCCCTGTTAGCTTCTGGAGTCCCAGACGGCTTAGTGGTTAACTCGCTCTCTGACTTCAGACCTGTTCTTCAATCTCTCTACACCTCCGTTTTTCATGCAGTATACGTAAAGATGATAAAAAGGGTGAACCATAGTCTCTGTGGTACAGAGTACCTTCTAGCCATAAAGCTTGAAAGAATTACTTGAGAACATAAGGCTACACAGTAAATAGCCGAGGGCTCTTTCTGTATCTTAGATTTCTGAGTTTCTGTGTAAGAGAAGAGTTGCTTTTTTCTTCTTCTTCTAAATAAACAGGAAGAAATGAAAAAGAAGAAAGAGACTAAAGTAAATAACATGTCCTACAATTACAGGATTAAAAGGCCAAGATAGATAGGTAAAAGGAGAAAAAATTATGGGAAGAAAGGAGCTAAAGGTGTAGGGAAGGTGGAATGGGTAGGGGAAGAGTAAAAAGGGAAAAGAAAAAAATGTGAGAGAATGAAAAGATGAAAATAAAGTGTTTGTAGATGGGGAGGGGAGGAGGAGGTGAAGGGAGGGCAGGGACAAGGGGAAAAATGAGGACCAAGACCTGTCATGTAGAGGTACAAGATCCCAACAATGAATGTAACTGTACTGTATCCCTAAAATGTACCAATCCACTCAATTAAAGCTGAAAAAAAAAACAGCTGTGGTTTACTAGCACCTAATAAACTGATGTAGTTTTCTTGAGTGTTATAATCAATGTGAATGATCTCTGCAAGATGTGTTATTTATTTTTTCTGAGTATTAAGATAATGCACATAATTTCCACACATGAAAATTTAGCAAAAAGTGAAAAAAATACTACTCCTAATGTCACCTACGCCAGAGCATTTCCTTGTCATATGTTTTTTGAGTATCAATAATTTTTATAAATATAATTGGAATAACATAACACATACTTTTCTGTGTATGGCTGTAAACAGTTTAATCTTTCAAATGAAACCTTTATCTTTTCTAAACATTATTCAGAACATTATTTTTATGCATGCTTAGTAAGTAATTATGTAAATACTTCATAATTTATTAAACTAATAACCTATATTAGGGAGTTTGAGTCTCTAAGTTTTCACTATTATGAATAATATGGTGTAATGGAAATCTTTAAATATAAACAACTTGCTTGCCTCTCTGATAATGTAAGCCACACATGTCAAATGATATGAGCCGCTTTAGCATTTTTATACCTATTTTAATTTTCTTAGCTATTCCACCAATTTACCTTTCCATTCACAATATAAGAAGCCACCACTTTCAGTGCAGTCACTCACTAGAAAAGGTTTATTTTTAACCTCAAGAGAAGAGGTAAATCCTTTAAGAAAGAGGTGTGGAAGAGCAAAAGGCTTACTTAAAGAGAAAAGTTCTACGTCGCAGAATACCACGCAAAAAGCAGCAGAAAAAGACTTCTAAAGAAGTAAAGGCGGGAACTAAGACAGCAGCTGACACTCCTCATCCCGTTCCCTAGCCAACGCCTGCAGTTTTGAGGAGCAGCTCTTTCCGAGTGACAGGACACCCTGTTTGTGGTTCACTCCGAATCTCTCACCTACTGCTATTTCTATTACCTATGATCTTCTGGTAAAATGAATATTTGTAGGTGTTAAAAAGAAGATCTTGATTGGCATTGTCTATCAGAAGTTATGGGAATTAAAAAGCTCTTTACAGTAAAAGATGGCACAGCAGTTGTGTGTCAGGAACAAATACATGGGGTTTTGTCCTTTATCAAGGAGATTCTGAGTTTCTCCAATGAGAAAATATATATATATATATATATATATATGAAGATTCAGGGATGCTTAACACCATCTAAGTACTAGGAGGAAGAAAACAGAGTACTCTGTGGTGGGAAGTCCATTGTCTAGAAGGCAGGGTTTAGCTTTTGTTCTGGTGTAGCTGCTACAGGAAAACACGTAACTTGTATTTGGAAATTTAATTTGGCAAATGCAGTCATCAGAAATTTGCTTTCAGTTGATTCAACTTAATTTGTATCCTAAAAGTCCTAAATTTGGCTTAGAAAACATTATTACCACTAGTGCTGGCATAGTCCCCAAAATAAAGGCAAACAGATGTGGGAGGAAAGATAGCTACCAATTAACTTCTAAAACTTATGCTTTTTCTTTACCACCAGTACCAGTAGGAAGTAGAATTAAGTGACTTACCGGAAAGCACAGTTTCACAGAGCTGTGTCCAGTTTGGGCTGCAGAGGGGCGAGTGTCCTGGCATTCCCAGCTGTACACGATCCAAAATAAATTAGTGTAATTATCCTGAATCAAATACATATTTTTTAACCAGAGTTCCTACGCAAGCACAGCATGTCTTTCTCTCTCTTGCATAACCATAGCCCATATTCCTACTCAAACAGTGGCTATTCACTACTCTCAAAATTAATTTCATTTAATTTAATGATTACGTAAAAAGAACTCTACCGAAACGGGAATAAGCATGGGGAAGAGGAGTGAAAGCTATAGGATATAGGAAGACTCTTCTACAGATGTCAGCAGCAAATGGATGGAAAGTACCCAACATACTGACCACAAACTCTTCCCACACATGGTCCTCACACCTCAGACGTTTAGGAGTGTTCTAAAGCTTAGTCAGGGTTAGCTATTAGTGAAACAGTCACTTGCCCAGCTGCTTCCCTTGTTGTCAGGGGTCATAACCAGCAACCTCTCCCACAGAGGAGTTGGCCTTAGCTCAGCCTATCAGCTCCATGCACCAACTGGTTAGAATGTGTGCTACCCAAAAGACTAAATGCTTCCCAAGTTAAGTTCACACAACATGACTGCTACTATGAAATCTAAGCAAATCACGCTGGCAGGCAATCTACCCATAGAATAAATAACTGTTAGAAACATATGAAGTGAGTGAATGGAGTGGTGAATCGTGGCACGTTGGGGATCTAAATCTATTTTTTTAAAAACTGTAATGGACCGAGCGGTGCCCTACCAAAAGGTAGGCCGATGTTTTCAGTCCCACAACCTGCAAACACTAGCTCCTTTGGAAAAGAGGCTTTTGCAGATGTAATGAAGACTCTCGAGCTGGACCTCAGTCAGGCCTTAAATCCAAAGACAAGCATCCTCGCTGGGAAGCAGAGAGGAGAGCCAGTGTGAGAAGAGTTGGGGGCAGCCACTGGCAGCTGGGTGAGGCGGAGGGGATGCCGCCCTGAGAGGAGGCACAGCCTGCTGGGGTTGGAACTTCTGGCCTCCAGAACTGTGCCGGGATACCTTTCTCTTGTCTGAAGCCACTCTGCTTGTGGAGATTTGTCACAGCAGCCAGAGGAAGCTAGGACAACCATCAGATGACTCTGTTTTAAACTTGCGCAGAGAGAGCTCCAGGCTGGTCCTTAAGAGGTCTCACCTGAGTTAACTGTGTGAGTTTGAGTGAGAACCTCGGTTTGCTTGTGAGTCAGGCCCTTCATGTGGAGCCAACTAAGTGATCTTAAAACCTCCTCTGGCTCCACCTTCCGCATTTTTTGTAACAGGTGATGCGTAGCAAACTTAAAGAAGAAGTGCAAGTAGAATTGTGTTAACAGTCACACTCTTACCCAAGCGCTTAAACATACACGCTTATAAGTTTTAAGGTTTGTGTGAGAAGAGTGTAAAAAAGAAACCAGATGAGCTATAATTGCTGTCATTTATTGGGCTAACATTGATTCGTACTCATTTCATTATAAACTTACTATAAAAGTCTGAGTCCAAACAGGAGATAGAATCCACACAGTGGGTTAAACAGTAGAAATGGAGCAAAAGGAATGATTAAACAATGATAAAAGAATAATCACAAGATATAAGGAAACTATACAGTAGCCCAGAGCTTAGGGAGAGTGCCCGGGGAAAGACAATCTTGGAAGGGAATCAGAGGACACCGGAGAAAGTGCAACAGTCACCAGAGAGCCCAGGAGAGTGATGGTTTGCCCAGGCTGGAGTGGGCCTTTATTTGCTGGGAGCCCGGACAGGCTGCCCTCCAGAGCTCGGGTGGGGAGCAGGTGATCGCCGCTGGTATCCTGCGCGTGAGCTGAGAACGTGGGCTCTGACCGGGGCCGCAGCCTTCAGAGTGTGGGAAATGTGCACGAGATTGCAAAACAAATGACTGTGTGTCGTGAGACACGCTGGGCCACGATGGCTTTGTGCATGCTGCACAGAGTTCTGGCTTCCAGGACGAGGGACCCAGAAAGGACACTGTCAAGCCAAGGCTACAAAATCGCAGGAGGACCACCTGTGGCTGGTCCAGGCTCCACCCACCGTCCTCATAACCTGTGCTGCTCCTCTCCTGTACCACACCAGAAGCTGCAGAAAACCTCTTCCTTCCCAGCACCCTTTCACAGCCTCGCGTGAGAAGTCTGAACATTGCACTCACTTTAAACAAGAAGTACCGGAAGGAATTCTGTTCTCAGTGAGTGTGTATTGAAGGGCACGTTTGGAACTAAGAAGCAATAAATTCATAACTGACACACTTGCAAAGCAATGATTATCTGTAATCATACTTGGGCGCACCAAGGCTAGGAGACATGAATATAGCCTCTAAATGACGTAAATGACAGATAATTCCTGAAACTATGCTTTAACCACACCTCGAGAGCGGTGTGATGAAAATTGTCCATTTAAACTATTTCATGGACAGCTCTATACTTTTATTTCATTATTATACTTATGACCATAGGATAAAACTTTATCTGAAGAGAAACTTTCTAAATCTTTTATGTTATGACAAAGAAGCAAAGGAGAGAACCACCCCATAGAGCTCTCTAATCTTCCCTTCTTTAGGTTGGGATAAATGTCTCCATTATCTTGGTTAAGCGGCACCCTCCTCTTAGAAAATGCACCTGTAGATGCCTTCAAAGCATCCTCCAAAGGCTAATATAATTTTCTCCTCCTTGTGCATTCTGCACCCCCAAGCCCCAGCCCCCTCAACTGCAGAAACTGAGCCCCATTCTTCCATGTTTGCAGCTCAGAACTTTGGCCAGTGCCCCAGCTCATAATAGAGGTTTGATATAAGGGCATTGAACTGAACCGAAGAAAACCAATCCACATCATGGATTTATTTAAACAAGTCATTTCTAGAATATAACTCAAGTTCAAGACTATTCAGTGATCTACAGGTTACAGCATACACACCATTCAGACCATGGGTCCCTTGATAACATACAAAGTCTACCATATGTGAAGGATCAGAGTGGATTTTCAAGCCATGTCCTAGAAAGAGGCTCAACATATTTTGAAAGACACTAAGAACCTTAGTCAAAGGCAAGGGAGTTAAGAGTTAAAAGAAAAACTAGAAATATGCAGCTGTTAAAGAATCTAAAGTAGTGAAACATGTAGAGAGAACTGGTGGGGAAACATGAGCAGGAGAGAGGAGGTCTAGAAAGATTTCCAGTGTGATGTACCTCTGGAAGCTCTTGATGCCTCCCGTGTGTATGGAGACAC